TTTGGGCTTTGCTTCCATGAAGATTGACAGCCTTGGAGACCCTGTGGGCAGTTCCACTCTGTCCTCTAGGGGCGCTGTGGGTCAGAATGGACTCCAGGGCAGTGGGTGTGGTTTGGGCTTTGCTTCCATGAAGACTGACAGCCTTGGAGACCCTGTGGGTAGTTCTACTCTGTCCTAAAGGGACTTGACAGAAATGGGTTTGATTTTTTTTCTTTGTTCATAAGTGATACTGGTCTGTATCTTTTTTTCTTGTGATGCCTCTGCAGCATTTTACTTTAAATTGATTAATTGTTAGGATGCCGCTGTGTCCGTCTCTCTGTAGTGGCTTGGGCTGTTTCTTGAGAAGCATGGCGGGAGTTGCGCAAACGCTGAGAAAGGGGGTGGTCTAGTGTGTATAAGGCTCAGTGTGCTGAGCTCAAGGCGGGCCGTGACCTGCTGCCTTGATGCCAGCGGCGCCCCGTGTCCTCGCATGTGGCCAGGTTCCCGGGAGCCTGTTCCCCTTCTCTGGTCCCCCACCCTCCGGAGGGTGGGCTCGTCAGGCAGTGGACAGGACCTGTGTCCTTTCACACGGAGTGACCCTTGCTTCAGCTCCCTAAACTACTGCAACAGGGGGCCCCAAGCTGGGGCCCGAGACGACAGAGACTTGCTGCCTCCTGTCCTGGTAACCAGCCTCCGAAAGCACGTGTCACAGAGTCATGCTCCTTCTGGAGGCCCGGGGAGGGACCTTGGCTTCCCGCTCCTGGTGGCCCTGGGGCCTTGGCTTACGGCCCTCACTCCAGTCTCTGCGTCACCGGCCGTTTTCCCTGTGTGTCTCTGCAGTAAATCCTGTCCTTTCTCTGACGGGAACACTGTCACTGAGTTCAGGGCCACCTCTGTCCAGGGTGATCTCATCCCAAGACCTTCAGGCACGTCTACAAAGACATTTTTCCAAACAAGGCCTTGGTCATGGTCTCAGGGTGAGGACACAAGTCTATTTTTGGGGGATCCTAGTTCAACTCGCTGCGGTCCTCAAACCCGTATGTCTGGTTCCTTACCCTTTTTCCCAGCATGCCACCTTCTCCTTGGTGGGTCCATTTTCAGACGTAAGCTCAGCGCCCACTCTTGGCTCTCTGGGAACTGTCCCTTCCGCTGGGCCTGGCTTTCCTCCCCAGAGGAGCCTTCAGGCTCTCGTTCAGCCCGACTGGCCTTTGCTCTGTGACGTGTGTCTTTCCTCCACAGGAGGACATGGGGATGACATATTCAGAGCTTTCCGTCTACGGAAGGCTCCGGAAGGTGGCCAGGATGGGGCCCTACAGCATGTTCTGCAAACTCGTCAACATGTGGAGAGAGAGCTACACCCCGCGACAGGTAAAGCGCTCTGACGCCTCACGGGGCACGCAGGCCAGGAGGGGCGCTCGGCAGTGGTCTGGCACGAGGAGTCAGTGCAGCGTGACCTTAAAGCAGTCACGCCTGTCTCACACGGTCCCACTCTCCGGCCCTCGTTTCTCGCACCCCTTTGCCCTGTGACAGAATTCACTGGAGTGAGGTCTGACGACTGCCAGGGATTAGGAAGTAGGACAGCTGCCGTCCGCCGTCAGGCAGACGCCGGCTTGTGTGGGTGTCAGAGCAGAGCTGTGCCCCAGGGCTTCCCAGCGGCTGCGTTTTCGGGAGCCCCCAGCAGGCCTGTCTGCCGAGGTGCCTGGGGCGGCCCCAACCTCCCCCAGTTCGGTCTGCAGCCGAAGTCATCACATCAGAGAGCTGCTCCCTCCCCCCATCTTTTTATAGCCATTCAGTAGCTACGTTTTTCGATTCTTCCATTATGTAGTATCAGGTCCCCTTCTGCATGGTAGCAGCGCATGAGAACAAAAGTTGGATATTGAACACCCCCTGCAAACGCTCGAGGGGCACTGACGCCCAGGGAACAGTTCTTTTCCTGTGTAAGTTCGTTACACGCGGTGGCGTGGGACCACCTTTCTTCCACCCCGGCTGCGAGAGAAAATACAGTAGCATGTAGCCTGTTGATTGCACGGGTGATTTCCCTCAGACCCTGCTACACTGAAGCACCGGCAGCTCGGTTCTTCCCTTGTTAATCTGTGCTTTGCCGTCAATTCTTCCCTGATTCTGAGGCCAAAGGACAGTTTCCCCGGGTGCAGAACCAGCCCGTGTTGCCAAACAAACCGGTTCCCGCCGAGTCGATTCCGACTCGTGATGCCCCGCCAGAGCAGGGCTGTCCTCTGAAGGGTTTCCAGTGGCTGAGTTTTCAGAAGTGAATGTCCAGGCCTGCCTTCCAAGGTTCCTGCAAATCCCGGGTGGCGCAGAGGGTTTGCCCTCTGCGGTGAACTGAAAGGTTAGTGGTTCGAATCCACCCAGGGGCGCCTCAAGCCACAGGCCTGGGAATTTACTTCTGGAAGAGCAGCCGCTGAGGGCGCCCTGGAGCAGTTCCCTCCGACACGGTGGCCTGGGCTGGAGCTGGCCGCTGACAGTGTTTGGGCTCGTCCCGTGTGCGTCCTGTTCCTCTGGAAGTCGCACTGCACTCAGCATGTCCTCCGCACTGACGTCCAGTTCCCGCCCCTCCCCTTCCTCCGGGGGCCCGTGTGGTGGAGTCGGGTTGCTGCCCCCTGCCCGTGTTGGCTGGTCTGGTCAGGGCTGAAGCCCGCCAGCAGGGACAGCACGGGGTGTTGATGAAGACACCTTCCTGGAACCCGCTTTGTGCTCCTGACGCAGGATCTTCCGGGAGCTCACAGTGTTGCCCTCAGCCCCCAGCCCGGCCTGAGTGCTGGCATCTGTCCCCTGCCTGCAAGACAGCATCTGTACAGCAGCGGGGTGACCTGTGGGCCTTCTTGCACAGTCCCGACAAGACTGCGTCCTCACGGCCCCTCCAGGCTCGGCCATTTGGGGCATGGCTGACTGGAAGCATCTCCTTCTACCTGCCCACCAGGTGGCTGAGAAAGTGAAGCTGTTCTTCTCAAAGTATTCTGTGAACCGACACAAAATGACCACGCTCACCCCTGCCTACCACGCGGAGAGCTACAGCCCTGACGACCACCGCTTTGACCTGCGGCCGTTCCTGTACCACACTGGCTGGCCGTGGCAGTTCCGCTGCATAGAGAGGCAGGTGAGCCCAGCACGGGGCCGCCCTCTGTCCACGACCACCTGGAGGGGAACCCTAAGCTCACTCCGGGAGGACTGGCAGAGCTGGGGCTCGGTACCCCGGGGTCGCTTTGAACGCTGGGCTGAGGTTTGGGTGAAGGTTTACAGAGCACTTGCGTTCCTGACGTCACACGCGTTTCGTTTCGCTGTTGGTTGCAGTCCCCACGGCCCTCCTCCCGCTTCCTCCCCACCTGCCGTCCCTGTCCCTCCTCCTTTCTGCCCCCAGCTGCCTTCTGAGCTCTGCTGGGGCCAACGTTGCCCTTCTGGTCTTGGGCGGTGACTGTTCTGAGGGACACATTCCTCGGGGGTCACAGTTCACTTCATATCCTGTCCCTTGTTCGGGGTGGGTTCAGGTCCAGGTTGAAGGCCGTTCCCCGTGATATGTTGAAACTGTTCTTCTGCGAAGGAACCACAACCAAAAGGCCAAACCAGTTGTCATTAAGTTGACTGATTCCTTCACCGAGTCCTCAGGGCTCGGACCCTGGGGGCAGATCTCCAGGCCTTCCCCCAGGTGCCTCCCTTCCGCCCGCGGTGCCTCCGGGGGGCTTTCTGGTCAGCAGATGGTGCGTTTGCCGTTCAGTCACCCGGGGGCTCCAGCTTCTCGCTCATAACCTGCCCTTTCAGCCCATGAGGCTGACCCCCGTCGGCGTGAGTCCGTGCATGTTGGCAGCGTGGCTGCTGAAGTCTGCACATGGGCTTGAAGAGCTCGCGAGACTTCTCCCCACGTGGCTCTCTTGTAGGTTCTGCAGCTCGAGGGCAGCAGGCAACAGGACTTGGACAGTGTGGACTGACCTAGACGGGTCCTGGGTGCCCCGCCAGCGTCCCCAGTGGCTGAGACCGTGCACTCCCGGCTGTATGTTGAAGGGTTCGGTGTAAAACCTCCATTCTGTTTACTCAGAAAAGCTAAAATAAAAGACACGCACCTTTTTGCTGTTTCCCCAAGGCGTGTGTGCTCCTTCCCTTGGTACCTTCTTTAGCGCATGCTTGAAAGGAAGCCCACGGGGTTGGCAGGTGCCCAAGCTACAGGAGCAGAGCAGTGCAGCGTGGACGGGATGGGCGTCCAGGCAGGGAGGGGGTATCCTGAGCAGAGACAGGGATAAGCCCTCTCCTCCCACCCACCTCTGCCTTCCTGTCCTGGGGTCCATGTGGTCCCGGGAGACAGCCCCTTCTGCAGAGAGCTGTCGTCTGGGGCCTGGAGACCAGCCGTCCGTCCTTCTGTCCTGGGTCCAGTCTGTGAGCGGGTCTGCCAGCTCCAGTTCTCATTGAGTCGATTCCGACTCACGGCCCATGCGTCAGAGTAGAACCGCTCCGTAGGCTTTTCAGTGGCTGTTTTTTGGGAGTGACTTGTCAATTCTTGCCGCCTCTGGGCGGACTCCAACCTCCGGCCTTGGGGTCAGCAGCGGGGTTTTCCGAGGACTGAGTTTGAGCCTCCCGTTCAGCTGGACGCTGTTGGTGACTGAGGCACCCGTTTTCCCGTGTGTCCAGTTTTTTAAGAGCTCTGGGATCCCAAAGAATGTTTACATCATTTATATTAAAATTTAAAATTTTACAGTACATAGTTTATGTAGTCATTTTAAAATAATAAATTTATCGTACAATAGACTGAGTAGTGTCTCTCTTCTGTCAACATAGTTTCAGGAATTTTCTTAAACTATATATATTATATATAACAGTTCAAAGCAGGGAAAAACCTCTGCAGGGTTGATTGAATGCCAATGGCATCCCAAAGGAGGCAACATTTGATCTGAAAGCTTAGGCGGAAAAGTTTTTTAATTTGACCATATTTTCCAGCATAAAGACCTTCGGTGGGAACAGCAGCGCTGTTTCACACATTTTGCAAATCCCTGTGCTGGCTCGTGGGCACACAGCTGCATCCTCATTCCACTTCGCATTCCCTCTGTTGCTTCCATGGTCAGTCTGTTGCAAACTGTTGTTTTGGTGGGAAGGTAGGAGGGCACCCAGCCTCACGCAGAGATGTCGGAAAGGAGGGAGGATGTTCAGAGCCCTTTCACATCCTCTTCTTTGGCTTGGCTGGTAAATATTCTCTGAGATGCCAGAACTTGGCAAGTGGTAGTTTCTTGAAGGGGGAGTCCGAAACAACCTTACTGAACTTCTCATACTCTGTTACATTAAAATCTATTGATATACATTGCACTTGGATTGGATCTTGTACCCAGGTGTGATGTTGTAGCATCTTCCCCCACATACACCCTGAGTTTGTCTTACCAAGTCCTCCAATATTCCAGGCATCTCATGCTCATTCTGATCAGACCAGCCAACATCATAGTATCATATACTATGATAGAGAACAGGTGACATTATGTATCCTTGGGGCAAAACTCCGGAGATATATTGCTGTCCATCCCATTTGCATGCAAATGAACTTTTGGAAAAAAAGAAGTACAAACCCATTGCTATTGAGTCAGTTCCAACTCAGTGACCTGTAGGTAGAGCTGCCCATAGGGTTTCCTGAGCTGTCATCTTTATGGGGGCAGATTGTCAGGTCTTTTTTCCCACAGAGCAGCTGGGGGGTTCAAACCACTGACCTTTTGGTCAGCAACTGAGCAGTTAAGGACCAGATATTTTCAGGAGGTTTCTGAAGTAGAGAGTGAGTAGGTGGATAAAGTCATAGTAGCCTTCTACACACTCCAAGTCAAGGGTCTCTCTTCTGTCAATACAGTTTTAGGAATTAAATGTATTATATACAATAATATTATATAATCATTATATATAAGCTGGGAGACTCTGGTAGCGTAGTGCCTGGGGCATTTGACTGCTAACCAGAAGGCTGGTGATTCAAACCCACCAACCACTCCTTGGAAGGAAGGTTGGGCAATCTGCTTCTGTAGTGATACCACCTTGGAAACCCAAGAAGGGGATCACTATGAGTCAAAATCAACTCAATGACAGTGAGTTTGGTTTGTTTTTTTTTTTTTTTTGGTATGTAAGCTAAATTGTTTGCTGCAATAGTTCAGAGCAGAGAAAACTCCTGTAGGTTTGGTTGAATGCTAATGGTGTCCCAAAGGAGGCAACATTTGATCTGAATGTTGAACGCTTAGGTGGAAAAGTTTTTAAAAATTTTATAAGAATTAATCTGTGGTCTGTTGACACAGCATCATTGGTACTATGGGAGTATCATGAGTGAGTTAGGAAAGATCACACTGCAAGGGTGTGAGTGAGCACCTGGGGGGTTTCCCTACACTGTTGCCAGCAGTGTGACGCTGCGTGTGAAGCAGGCCTGGTCATTCTTGAGGTGACTGGCCACAGGAAAACCAAAAAAAAAAAAAAAAATCCACTGCTGTCGAGTTGTATCTGACTCATAGTGACCCCTCCTTGGGTTTTCGAGGCAGTATCACTACAGAAGTAGGATTGCCCAACCTTCCTTCTGAGGAGTGGCTGGTGGGTTTGAACCGCCAGCCTTCTGGTGAGCAGTCCAGGGCCTTAGGCACTGTGCCATGGCTCCCGCAGCTTATATATACTGTCCTGGTTCTGTAGTACCATTCATACACCACCAATGGGATGCCTTACCAAACAGGAGTTTATTCTTACAATTTGGAGGCTTTAAGTCCAAGCTCAAAGTGCCAGGCTCTGGGGGCTGGGTGAAAGCCCCTCAACCTTGGGGTCCAGCTCTGCCTCCTGCTCCCGGCCCCCTGAAGCTGGAGGTGTTTCTTCACTCAAGACAGCTTCTGGCTGCTGAGGCTGAGAAGCCCCAAGGTTGACAAGTAAAAAGGCACAGTCCCGATGTTACCAAACCACACAGCAGGCCATTCACTTAAATCCATTCTAAGTCCCAAGGTCGGCAGAGCATAGCAGGCTGCTGAGCAATGACACGGCTACATGCAGGGTCCTAGGGTGCCACAGGCTGGAGACCATTTCCAAGGCTTCTCCTTATATACAGGCAGCAGACCACATCCCAAAGGCAGCTACTCAGCTGCTTGTGGTAGATCCCACCATGGAGTTGATTGAGTTGATTGCCAGTCTCCTCATGGCGATTAACTACCACCAGCTGCCCAGCCACTCAGCCAGGCCCAGCCAAGTTGACATACAAACTGAACAACCACACATACTCACTCACTGTGGTCAAGTCAGATCCCACTCACAGAGACCCCTCCTTGGGTTTCTGAGGTGGTACCTCTACGGAAGTAGATGGCCCAATCTTACTTCTGAGGAGTGGCTGGTGGGTTTGAACCACCAGCCTTCTGGTTAACAATCAAATGCCTTGGGCACTACGCCGCCAGAGCTCCACGGGCAGGAAGATGCTACAGTAGCTCGCAGTGTGAGCTTCCTCGTCTGGTACACGAGAGGCCAACAGCTCCTGCGGGGGGTACTGTCAGAGCCAGCCATGGGGAAGAGTTCTGGAAGGCTGAGACGAGGTGTGCTGCCTGGGTGTTGGCTGTGTGGAAACACAGATGTACTGGAGGTTTCACTAACGGGGGAGCGCCACACCCCTCTGCCTGAGGCTTTGTTGTGGTGGTGGTTGTGTGTCATGGAGTTAATTCCAGTTCATAGAGAGCCCGCGTCAGAGCAGAGCTGCCCCACAGGGTCTCCTGGGCTGTGATCTTTACAGAAACAGGTAACCAGGCCTTTTCTCCCACAGAGCCACCGGTACGTTCAAACCGACATTTTGGTTGGCAGCTGGGCCTTCAGTGTTGCGGCCCCTGGGCTCCTCGGACTGGAGCTGAGGCTTGTGAGTGTGGTTTTCTGCAGACATTTCTCGAGGGTCTGACCGGCACCAGCGGTGAAGTGCTCAGCTGCTAAGCAAAGGAGAGAGGGTCAAGCCCATCCAGCAGTGCCTTGGAAGAAAGGCCCGGTGAGCTGAAAATCCGGCCACTGAACCCTTAGAGCACAGTTCTGCTGACACGGGGTCACCTTGAGTCAGAATCAGCAGCAACTGACTGTGGTCTAGTTGTTTCTCAAGGCACAGTAGGAAGCACTGACAGGGCGGTGTGCAGAGGCCAAGGCAGTGTGCAGAGGACAGGGCGGTGCGCAGAGGCTGGGGTGGTGTGCAGAGGCTGGGGCGGTGTGCAGAGGCCAGGACGGTGTGCAGAGGCCGGGGCGGTGTGCAGAGGCCAAGGTGGTGCACAGAGGCCAAGGTGATGTGCAGAGGACAGGGCGGTGTGCAGAAGACAGGGTGGTGCACAGAAGCCAAGGTGAT